ATCGGACCCTATGTAAATACGGAATACTTTATGCACTGGGCTGCCCTAATACTCTAGTTGCATGACTAGAGTACTGAAACCATTAGCATCAACTTACCACGAATCACAAACTTCTGATAGAGGGTGGATGTGCTCAAGACACAAGTATAATTTAAAGATAAAACAAATAATGCAATGTGAACCAATAAATATAAATGTGATAAAGAAAAACTGATGAAACAGTTATTCATGAAATGTGAATCATAAATGTGTTCATTATATAGGGAGACAATGCCAATATAGATTATTAGCTCTGAATGGTTTTTTGGAATACAGATAAAACGGTATAATAGCATATTATCTTCACATTAAATTACTTACTTAGATGTGAAATTTGCTTCAGATTTAGTTACTATTTTCTATTTGGTATCTTCAACTGGTTTTATTTAATGTCATTTACCTAAAACAGCAAATTGGAAGAAGAAGAAATCTGGGTACAGCTTCCCAGGTAGAAGGGCGAAGAGCTAGGGGTCTAGATTGATTGAAGCCACGTGTCCGTATGAAAATTCAAAATTCAACGGCTTGATTGCATCTCTTCTCTCCACCTATGTAACAGTCATTCTCTCTTTTCAAACAAATTAAGAACAAAGATACAGAAATAAAAAACATACGCTCACTTGTTCAGCCTTGGACGCTCTTCCATTTTTGTCACTAGCTTGACTTAGGATATTGTTTTGCTTTTTCCAGAGAGCAATTTAGTTGAAATACACCCAATCTTTTCCTTCTCTTCGTTTTCAATGGCGAGACACACCTCATTTCTAATGGTATGGAACAGGCGCAGATGTTGTAGAGGAAAAGAGTTATGAAGAAAAAGAATTAATGCTTACATGGATGGAGGAGAAGAGATGCAATCTAAACCGTGGCTGCTGGAGTAGAAAATCTACATTTAATTTTGTCTTGGCACCTACCATATGTTATCTCATGTTGATAAGATAAAAGTAACTTGGAATATATGTCCAGGTTTGTGTTCTCTTCTCAGTCTCAATGCAATGTTGTATTGACCTCTTCATTCTCCATATGCAACTCAAGGAAATGTTGTATGTGCCGTTGGCGTGTCCTTATCCTCCTTCAATTTCGAACTATCCTAATACGTACTGTCCCGCCGTCCTCAGTCTTCTCAGTTCCATTCTACTCTTGTATTCACATTGGTGCTGAATGTGGTAACTTATTTTTTTGGAGTATATGATTTTGAAACGTCCTTATCTTTTAGTTCCTTATAAGCTAGTATTCTTGATTGAGTTAGACTTAATATTCATTTTCTTATCTATCGTTTACCACCCCAATACACTACATCTGAATTCTGATGTTACAATACACTACATTAGTTTACTATAATTAAATAACAGAATAATTTAAGAATGTATATTACTAACTAATTATACTTAATTAAGTGATAACAATATATGTGATGACACATACGAAAATTGGATAAAAGGCTGCCTATTTCCACAGCTGGGGATATCAGGCACACTGGAATTTTTTAAAAGGAAGCATTGGGGAAGGTTTAACAAAGAAATAGTGGTAGCTCTATACAGTTCAATGGTATATCGTACATGGAAGGCTCGAAATTAGAAGCTTTTCAAGGGAGTTGTTGTACATAAGAGTTTTGTATACATACAGATACAACAGGAAATTAGAATTAGAATAGATGTGATGCAATCCTCCAAGAGAGCTCGTAGGTGTTCTCGGCTGATTAACAATTTATGTAACTTGTGTTTTCTTTGTTGTTGGAGGCCTTGACACTCGCAATACCCTTCCTGGATAGGTGGTAGTGTGGTTAAGGTGCTCTTTAGGTATATTATGTTTTGCTTGTTATGGTAATCATTCACAGCTTATTACCAAAAAAAAAAAATTATTTTGTTTGAGACAATTCATTCTTGCATATATAATTTTTACTTAAACTTTTGCTAACTTAACCATGGCATTCTTTGTTTTCGACATTTCTTGAAATTTTAACTTCAATACCACACGGGGGGGGGAGTGATTTGTGTGGTACCCAAGTTTTCGCTTAAACTAATTATAGAAGGACCGGGTTATTCTATGTGTTCCTTAACCTACTATTGCTGAAATAGTAAATGCGGAAAGTAAATAACACAAGTGTTTTACGTGGAAAACACCTGGCTCAAAAGGTGAAAAAAACACGACCTACTTCTCAGTAGTATATTCTCAAACTCTCCACTAAATCACTGAGCCAAAAACTGTATTTACAAAATACTTTTGTAAACCTAGGATTAACTCTAATCCCATTGTGGCAATCAGCCTCTAACTGCTGTGCCAACTTCAAGTTAACTGTAACTTGAATACTCTGAGTACCTATTACAATTGCCTCTAGATAAAGCTGAAAGGTACAATATGAACACATACTACAATTGAACTAGAATAAATGACATACACTTGGAACTGATTCTTCTATCTGGTTCATGTAGCTTCAGGTTTGCACAGTTGAATCACACACGAATTGCTTGCAAAATGCCTTGCTATTTTGCTCTCAATTCACGTTTAACTTCTGCTTTTGTGTGTACCTGTAGAATGAGAACATCCTGCAATATATAGAGTTAGTAGATGATGAAATAACTAGAGTTCTAATACTACTCTTCCTTGGTGGAAGAGTTCTAGTTGATCTCAACTTCTAACTCCTTTCGTATCTTGGATAGTGTTCTCTTTGATTAAGTAGTCCTTCTCCTTATCAATTATGCAACCTTTTCGATCAGGAGATATCAATTATACTAAGTTAAGATTATCTCCTTCTCGTACATCCCACATGCTCGAATCTGCCCGTGTCTATACACACAAGGGATGGACCTGGTTCATGCCTGAGCTTCCTTTGTCAATCTTCAAAATAAACTTTCACTTGGGCCAACAAATTACCCCTTTTTGATGATGACAAACTCTGTGCTTTTTCATAAGCTTAGGCCCTGTTTCAACTTAGCTCAACATAAGCACAATGTTAGAAATATTTTCCCTTTGTATCACCTATCATCAAGGACCATGCTCATCAGGTTATAAATATCATTGTTCAAAGTGTAAAGCACAACTTTTTTCCCCCTTTTGACATCGAAAAGTTGCATAAATAAATAAGATCACCAGATTTTAAAACTTACTCATGGCCACTGGGCTACTTCAAATGCAATCATGGGTTAATCATAATAGATCAAGATAAGAATTTTAACCATCAAAGAAATATAAACAAATAGTTAGAGCAAAAGACAGTGAATTTCTTTGATGATTGATAAGATCCTACCACAAAGCATAAGAAGAAATAAAATACTGAAAACATGAGCAAAAGAAACAAAAAATCCCAAACCGGGTCACTGGTTGATCTACATTAGGCTAGGAGGCTTAAGACTGGGAAGAACTAGGTGCTTGGTTTTTGGCTTGGAGGAGCTTAAGAATGCCATCATTCTTCTCCTTTTCTCTTGCCAGCTCAGTTCTGAGAGCATCTCTCTCAATCTCCACCTATGCCAACCTCTTCTTCAGCCTCTTAATCTCAGCATTCTTAGCCCCACTTTCTTGCACCAAGGCTCACACCTTGCTATTCACTGGTACCTTCTTGGATGAACCAGGTTCTTTAGGAGTGGCATGGACTTCATAGTCACAAGCAATCAGAGTATTTGCCCCAAAATAATCCTTGCTTGTACCAACCTCCCAATTCTTCATAGGTACCTTGAAATGTGCAAGCACAGCTGTGAGAATGAAGCCATAGGGAATGGCATGAGTCTTGGTGCCATTTAGAACCCTATCAAGAAGCTGGATTATAAATCTATGCCAATTAATCTGCCTCCCACTGTCTAAACACTCCATAAGGACCAAGTCCATGAAGTTTGCAATGTGCCTCCTTTCTTGCCTTGGCAGAATACATTTGTTGATAAATTCGAACAACACCTTGTGGGGTGACTGCATCTCACTCTTGTACACAGCCTTGGGCTCAACTTCCTCCTCATTGTCACTGAATTTTCTAGTAATGGTAAGGGCAGTAGGAAGATTTTCTAGGCTTGGCTACTTAAGCTTTGTATAGTCATTGTACCCCTCAGCAAGTACACCCAGAATTTATCCCAACTTCTTCACAACGAAGGAGACTTGCACTCCTTTCACTATACTGGTAACCCTTCCATCTTTCACCTCACCAATTGCCATAAACTCAACAATTTCATTCCTGGACAACTTGCTAGCCATATGAAGGACCATGTCCTTCCAGCCTTGCAATTCCAACTTTTCCAAAAGCAATACCATTTCTTGCTCTTCCAAGTCCCTGAGGAGTTTGTCCTTTAAAATTGTCCTCTTGCCAAACTTGGCCATCTTGTCTTTCTCGGTGTCAGAATCATCTTCTTCCTCTCCACTCCATTCTTTTTCCTCAACAATTTTCACTTGTTTTGACTTCACAACAAACCTTGTTCTTTTTGCCAAGGTGGATGGTTCAGCAGACTTTGACTCTGAAACAGACTTCTTAGTGGAAGTCTTGGCTTTCTTGGCTTTGGGAGTCAGAACCTCCACTTCTTCAGTCTCTTCTTCATCTCGAAAGACCGGGTCCATCTCGTCAATATCAACAGCCTCAACATGCGCATCCATCTTCTTCTTTCCCTTAGCAACTGCTTTTTTTTACTTTCTTCTAAGGCTTTCTGTAGTTCTGCCTTATTCTGCTTTAGCTGGCTTTTAGTGGCTCTTCCTCTTGTGGGAGGAATTTCAACAGTAACAGAAGGGGCAACCTTCCTTTTCTTGTTAGCCCTAGCAGTGCCCGAGGTTTTAGCCTTTGAACTTCCTTTTTTCTTTGGATTATAACTCTCAGTTACTCTTTTCAGTAAGTCTGCGAGGGTTTCCTGTTCAGATGAAACAGGTTCATCTCTATTTTTCCCAAGTTGAACTAGCCCTTCAGCAGCTTCACCAGACCCACTTTCCCCTATTTTCTTTACACTCTCCTCTACTCCAGCAGATATTTCTCCCCAAATAACCATTGCACCTGTGTCTTAGGTTAAACTAACAAGAGTGGGTGAAGAATCAACCATTCTTTTACCCTTTCCCCTCACACCACTCCTAACTTCCTTGCTCTCTTTTTCTTTATCCTTTTTATTTTTACCACCAACTTCTCCAGACTTTGTAGTTTCAACACCTGCTATAAACCCTACCAGCACTAACCTATTCTCTAAATTTGTAGAAACTTCAGAAATTGTCTTAGTAGTAACTTCAGGGCTAGAAGATACCTGTTCAGTTTCGGAAGAAACAGTTTCTTCCCCTTCAGTAGCAGATTTGAATGATTCATTATATTTCTGAGGTTCTTCCTCCCTACTCGCTTTCAGTTATTCATTAATTTTCTGAATCTGTTCTCCACTAGCAACAACCTTGCGAGCCATCATTTTTACTCTTTTCTTAGAGGTTGAGGTGTTGTAAGGAGTGATAGTGGGTGTGGAAGTGGTTTTTTGTGGTGGTGATGAAGGTTTTTCAGGAGTGTTAGCCATTTCTATGCTTGGGTATGGGAGAGAAGAAAATTAGATTGTGTTTGGAAGATGAAAGAAGATGGAGAGTATTTGACGGCTTGAAAAAGATGGAGTGAAGAAAGTAATAATGCTGATCAATTTAAAGAGAGGTAATTAATGGGTAAGGACAGCTTTTCAGACTTGTAGAAGTCTAATCAAACTGAATTTCAGTTTTGAACCGACGTTGGAGTCTATTCCTAGAATCTAGGTAATTCAATTCGGTTAGGAGTCTTTTGAACGGAATTGGTTTACTTGTAACGGATAAGTCCAAAAGAGTTTGGAATTAAGTAGGACTCTGCTCATGATCCAAATATTATTATTTCAAATTATGCAGAGTGTAGAAAACATACCGAGTAATCTTGATGAACCAGGTTCTTCACTGAAAATTTTCTTATGCAAGTCTAAATTTTCCAAAATAGAAAAAATATCATTAGAGATTAATGAATTATTTTAGCATATGGCAAAAGAGTATACTATTAAAAGTATGAGACTGAGCAAAATCTAATCTAATTATATTCAAAATTTATAGATTTTCTAACCAACACTCTTCTTTTTTTCTATTATTATTTTTTTTCGTTGTGAATTTTTGAACTGGTCCTTTTAGGTGATCTTAATCATCCCTAATTCTAACTTGTTCCTTTCAAATTGATCTCTACTTAGGGCTTTTGTGAAGATGTCAGCTATTTGCTTGTCAGTAGCACAAAATTTCACAGTTATCAAACCCTTTTCATAGTTATCCCTCAAAAAGTGATGCCTAACATCTATGTGCTTAGTTTTCTTGTGATGAACAGGGTTCTTAGTCATACTAATTGCACTAGTGTTATCACAAAAAATGGGGATACAACTAACATCAATTCCAAAGTCCATTAATTGCTATTTGATCCACAATAATTTAGCACAACATGAAGCAGCATCAATATACTCAGCTTCAGTAGTAGATAAGGCCACTGAATTTTACTTTTTGGTAGCCCAAGACACAAGACATGAGCCAAGAAAGTGTGTCATGCCTGAGGTGTTCTTTCTATCCACAAGAAAACCTGCATAATCAGCATCAGCATATCCCATTAGATTGAAATTACTACCTTTTGGATACTATAGACAGAGATCAGTGGTTCCTTTTAGATATCTCAAAATTCTCTTGACAGCAGTCAAGTGAGACTCCTTTGGATTTGCCTGAAATCTTGCACAAAGGCCTACACTGAAAACAATGTCAGGTCTACTAGCAGTGAGATAAAACAATGAGCCAATCATTCCCCTATACAACTTCTGATCAACAGATGAACCGGATTTATCTATATCCAACTTTGTAGCTGTTGCAATAGGAGTGTCAATTTCTTTGGTATCTTCCATTTTAAGCCTTTTAAGCAACTCTTTAACATACTTTTGTTGATGGATCATAGTTCCATTTGAATTTTGTTTAATTTGTAAGCCTAAAAAGAAATTAAGCTCACCCATGATGCTCATTTCAAATTCACTCCCCATTAGTTTAGAAAATTCTTTACTTAACTTATCAGTAGTTTCTCCAAAGATTATATCATCAACATATATCTGAACTACCAAGAGATCTTTACCTTTTTCTTTCAAGAATAAAGTATTATCAATTTTACCTCTCTTGTAGTCATGCTCAAGCAACAACTTTGATAATCTTTCAGACCATGCTCTTGGAGCCTGCTTGATCCCATAAAGTGCTTTGTCAAGTTTGTACACATGATCATGACTCTCCTTACTTTCAAACCCAGGAGGTTGCTTGACAGGCACTTCTTCTTTTAGATAGCCATTGAGGAAGGCACTCTTGACATCCATCTGGTGAAGGGTGAATTCCATGTAAGCAGCAAAGGCTATGAGGAGTCTTATTGCTTCCAACCTTGCAACTGGAGCAAAGGTTTCATCATAGTTTATGCCCTCCTCTTGGCTATATCCTTGAACCACCAATCTTGCCTTGTTCCTTGCAACTGTTCCATCTTCATCAAGTTTGTTTCTGAAGACCCATTTTGTGCCAGTTACTGATCTGACCTTAGGTCTTGGTACCAGATACCAAACTTGACTCCTTTGGTTGAGTTCATCTTGCATTGCATTTACCTAGTCTGCATCGTGCAAAGCCTCAGCAATATTTTTAGGTTCACTAAGAGATAAGAAGGCATCAAAAGCACAAATATTTTTTAAAGAAGATCTGGTTTTGATTCCAAAGGTTGGATCAGTGATTATGTTCTCAATTGGATGAGAACATTGATACTTGTAAGATTTTACAACTAACTGGTTTCCCCTTGATGTTCCTTCAATGCTTTGTTGTTGTGGAACATGTTCATGGACAGGTTCCCTTGAGGTTTGAGAATCATTTCCTCTTTATTCTATTCCCCCTGTCATGTTGCCCTGGGTGGAAGAACCAGTTCCATCACCTGTTCCTTCCTCTAGTGCAGCTTCAGTCTGGGTTGTGGTTTCATTTGAGTTTCTTACCAGCCCAATTATTTTATCATCATGTTCCTGCCTCTCAGAAAGAATGTTAGTTTCATCAAAAACCACATGAACACTTTCTTCTACACACATATTTCTTTTGTTATAGACCTTATAAGCTTTGCTATGTGAAGAATATCCCAAGAATACTTCCTCATCACTTCTGGGATCAAACTTACCTAGGGAGTCTTTACCGTTGTTGTGCACAAAGCACTTGCATCCAAATACCCTAAGATGGGATATGTTTGGTTTTCTCCCTTTAAGTAACTCATAAGGAGTCTTCTCTATAAGAGGTCTAGTCATGCACCTGTTTATGATGTAGCATGCAGTATTTACAGCTTCTACCCATAAGATATGGGGTAGTTTACTAGAAAGAAGCATAGTCCTAGCCATATCTTCAAGTGTCCTATTCTTTCTTTCAACTACTCCATTTTGTTGTGGAGTCCTAGGAGCAGAAAAATTATGATTTATGCCATGCTCATCACAAAATTCAGCAAATTTAGCATTTTCAAATTCAGTGCCATGATCAGACCTAATTGATGCAAGTTGATTACCTAGTTGTTTCTGAGTTTTCTAACAAAAGAAGTGAACATGTCAAATGCTTCATCTTTAGATGTTAAAAACAATGTCCAAGTTAACCTAGAGTAATCATCAACAAGCACCATCACATATCTTTAACCACATCTGCTTAATGTTCTCATTGGACCACAGAGATCCATATGGACCAGTTCCATCGTCCTGGTGGTGCTTACCACTTTCTTGCATTTAAAAGAGGATCTTACCTGCTTCCCCTATGCACAAGCCTCACAAACGTTGTCTTCCTTGAACTTGATGTTAGGCAACCCTATCACCAGGTCCTTGGAGACTAATTTGTTGAGTTGACTCAGACTGGCATGTCCAAGTCTCTTGTGCCAAAGGAGGGGATCATTATCCAACATACTTAAGCAAGTGAGTTCATTTTCTGAAAGTGTAGACAGATCTACAATATATATATTGTTTACTCTTTTTTCCTGCAAAACAATCGTGTCAGTGGTAGGATTAATCACAAAATATTTGGTAGAGATGAATGCTACCAAGTTAACTCTATCACACAGTTGTGATACACTGATTAGACTATATTTTAAGTCATCTATTAAGTAGACATTCTCAATAAAGTGAGAATTAGTCTTACTTACCTTTCCAACCCCAATGATCTCACCTTTCTTCCCATTTCCAAAGGAGACATTACCTCCTTTGAGGTCTTTAAGTGAAAGGAACTGGTTCTTGTTTCCTGTCATGTGCTTTAAGCAGCCACTATCCATGTACCATATTTGGTTTCTCCCCTTCACTTGGACCTACAAAAAAAAATCAGGGGTTATTCTTAGGAACCCAAACTATTTTGGGTCCCTTTCTATAGGCAAAGGGATGAATCAGATTCTTTTTAGCCCAACTTGGTAGCCTATTCTTCCCTTGAACAAATTCTTTGTTCTTTTGGCTTGCCTTTTCTTTTGTATTGTATTCACTTTTATAGTGACCTATTTTACCACAGTGAGTACAAATCTTGTGCTCAGAAAGTGTAAGGTACTTGCTTTTGGGATCCCATTTAGGTTGCATATTCCCAAAGCCAAGTCCTTTTCGATTGCTACTATGATGTTCCTGTAGCCATGAAAGTGCATTGGATGACCTGTTCCATTTACAAGTTCTGTCTAGTTCATGCTTGACTTTGCCTAGATCCTCTTTCAAAATTCTAACCTGCTCATCCTTCTTATACAACTCATCTTTTAGTTTACTTACATTTTCTTCTAGAGTGAGTTGTGTACAATCAGTTGTCTTCTTACTTATTCCTAATTTCAGTTTTAGATTTTCATATCTAAGTTCTAGGACATTTGATTCAAATACATGAACCTGGTTCTTTAATGCAGTATTTTCACTTATAGTCTCACTAACTCTAAGTTCCAGGTTCTTACACTTTGCTTTCAAAATCACACATTCCTTAGACAGCTATTCATTTTCATTGTTTACATCCTCAGATTCATCAATGAAATCTAGAAGTAATTCAGATAGCCTTTCTTTAGACAAAAATTTAATCTTGTCTTTGAGATGAATTACACTTAACTCAGATTTCTCATCAGATTCTCCAATGGCCATAAGTGCTTGTTCATATCCATCTTCATCATCTGAGCTTTCATCTAAGCTTTCTCCCCAAGCAGCAATCATAGCCTTTGTTGATCATTTGTTCTTCTTGGGTTGAACCTATTCCTTCTTCCTTTTTCTTCGTTCAGCTCTTTCCTTCTTCCATTCAATTTCCCATTGAGGGAAGTTCTTGATGTGGTGATCAGTCTTACCACACTTGTAGCTTCCCTCATTGGTTTGCCTTTCAGGGGCCTTTGGTTTGATGTAGCTTCCACTTCTTAAAGGACCCTTTCCTCTCTTTAGGTACTTCTTGAAGTCCTTTGTGATCATAGTCATTTCATCATCTTCTAGATCAGAACCTTCAGTGATTCTGAGTGCCAGGTTCCTTTCCTTCTTGGGTACATCCATCTTCATGGTTTGCCTTCTAAGTTCATAAGTAGTGAGATTTCCAATTAGCTCATCCAACTTAAGAGTGACAATGTTCTTTGATTCCTGAATGGTACTGGTTTTGCTCTCCCAAGTAACTGGCAGAACCCTTGTCAAAATCTTCTCAACTCTATTTTCTTCAGAAATAATCCTTCCAAGAAACTTAAGTTCATTTGTCAGTGTGGTGAACCTTGTATACATCTCTTAGATGGTTTCCCCTTCCTTCATGGTGAAATTCTCATATTGAGAATATAGTAGTATTCCTCTGAACCTCTTCACTTGAGGTGTTCCTTCATGCGCCACTTGCAAAGTGTCCCAGATTTTTTTAGCAGTGGTACAGCTTTGGATTCTACTGTACTCATCTGGACCGAGTCCACAAACAAGTCATTTTTTGACTTTAGCATTCTTCTCCTATTTCCTCAAGTCGTCAGCAGTGCAGTCAGCTCTTGCCTTTGCCACCTCTTCTCCTTCGGCATTTATCTTTATGGTAGCTAGTGGGTCATCTGTGACAATATTCCATAGCTCATAGTCTTCTCCTATGATGTGATCTCTCATCCTGTTTTTTCACCAAGAGTAATATTGGCCGTTGAAGAGTGGTGGCCTAGCAGTGGATTGCCCTTCCCCGTTTTCAGGTAGTGCACTCATCTTGATCTTCTCCTAAGGTGTTAGCCTCTTCAAGGATAACCTGCTCTGATACCAATTGATGTTTTAACTTCAATACCATACAAGAGGGGGGTGATTTGTGTGGTACCCAATATTTCTCTTAAACTGATTATAGATGGATCGGGTTCTTCTATGTGTTCCTTAACCTACTATTGCTAAAATAATAAATGTGAAAAGTAAAGGACACAAGTATTTTACGTGAAAAACACCTGGCTCAAAAGGTGAAAAAAACACGACCTACTTCTCAGTAGTATTTTTCCAAACTTTCCACCAAATCACTGAGCCAAAAACTACATTTACAAAACACTTTTGTAAACCTAGGATTAACTCTAATCCCGTTGTGGCAACCAGCCTCTAACTACTGCGACAACTTCAAGTTAACTCTAACTTGAATACTCTAAGTATATATTACAATTGCCTCAAGATAAAACTGAAAGGTACAATATGAAAACACCTACTACAATTGAATTATAATAAATGACACACACTTGGAACTGATTATTCTATCTGGTTCATGTAGCTTCAGATTTGCACACTTAAATCACACACGAATTGCTTGCAAAATGCCTTGTTATTTTGCTCTCAATTCACGTTTAACTTCTGCTTTTGTGCGTACCTATAGAATGAGAATATCCTACAATATATAGAGTTAGTAGATGATGAAATAACTAGAATTCTAATGCTACTCTTCCTTGGTGGAAGAGTTCTAGTTGATCTCAACTTCTAACTCCTTTCTTATCTTGGATAGTGTTCTCTTTGATTAAGGAGTCCTTTTCCTTATCAATTATGTAACCTGTTCGATCAGGAGATATCAATTATACCAAGTTAAGCTTATCTCCTTCTCATGCATCCCATATGCTCGAATCTGCCCGTGTCTATGCACACAAGGGATGAACTTGGTTCATGACTGAGTTTCCTTTGTCAATCTTCAAAACAAACCTTCACTTGGGCCAACATTTCTATATTCTGAAATAGTTCGCAATTCATTATTTATTTTTCAAGTACGAGATAAAGTTCTTTCATTTTGCTTCTGGGCTCAATGTAAATACGATAACATGACATACCTTTGTAAATAGTTGTAAGAAAACAAATACTATCTAATATTAAATTAATACACTTTAAAATATAGAGCTATTACCTTAGCTTATGACTAATATTTCTCTTTTAGTTAAAATTGTTACTAACTTAACCATGATTGATTCAAGACATTTTATGCACGGTATGAAATAAAGCTCTTTCATTTACTTTTGGGATCAATATTAATATGACAACATGCCATATCAATTGTAAATTGTAAGATATTAAATTTCAAATAAAAATAATGCATTTCCTAAAATATAGAGCTATGATTCATAATCAATGAATGTAAAACATTACCTTAGCTTAAGACTAATATTTCTCTTTTAGCTAAAATTTTGTTAATTCCTATACAGAATCCTCGTCCTTTTGTTTAGAAAAAGAACTTTTTATTATATATTGGGGTAGGGGAAGGAGAAGGAGAAGTGAGAGAGGGGATTATAAGATGAGGAATCGAACCCCCGTCGTCAAGATCTAGATAGTGTGGTATTATGCAGGGGATCCATTTATCACCTTGGATAAAGTTCCGTACTGTGAATTTGGAAACTAATTCTCTGTCATTAATGGCGTTTAACCAATTTACCCTGCCTATTGAATTGGCCCCTGGCCCTCTTCTATTATATATACTGTTGTACTTGTACCGTCCCATTGAAGCCAACCTTGTGGGTCTATGAAATCAGCAATAAAACTTGACATGATTCTTTCCATGGTCTACCTAAGTAACTTGTCACCACTGAATTGCGCAATTCTGATGTGGGTGTTATTGTACAATTTTGAAGAATTAGACCTGAATTCATAGCAGTCGAGTCAAAACCTGGAGCAAGTATTGTGATTTCTTGTCCTGGTACAGCTAATCTTGCATAAATTACACTATCTTGAAAATAGGCTTGGCCATCACCAAAGATGAAATCTATGGTGCCAGAAACTTCACATTCTTTGAAAAATTGCACTCCATATTTCGAAAAAACTGTGTCCTGAAAACCTTCGAAACGACACTGATAAAATGTTACGAAACTAGCTCCACGAGTCAAGGCGGCCGCTTGTCCAGCTCCTGCTCCAGCACTATTTCTAATAGTCATGTTCATTCCGATGAAACCATCGCCGTAAACTCCTGTACGATAAAATTTGCTAATGTAATGACTTCAATTTATTAAATAATTGAAGCGCATAAGCTAAACAATATCTATTATTTTTTATAATCGTAGTGTTTGGGCTAGCTTGCACGAATTTGCCTATTCTATTTCGTACTAGCTACTTATCCTACTGTTAATTGTGCCGACCAAAGTTTAAAAGGTGTGAAGAAATCACCTAGTGCTACTTTTTTTTTTTAATCTTTCGTCTCTAATTGAATTTGAACTCTGATTTTACATGGTTTTCACTCACTTTATAGATCGCTAAGCTATACTCTAAGGTGCTTTTCCTTTTTTCTTTTTGTTTTGGATAGTTATAGTAAAAATGATCCAAGTTGTAATGCGGAGAGGTTACTCACCTAATGTGGCAGTGTCATTTGTTCCGAGACCCATACTGGCACTTGTATTTGCTGAAAGTATTGTAATTCCCATACCATCACCAATAAGTGCTATATTAGTTTTATCTTGACCAACAATGACGTTATCACTGTAATTTGCTGCTTTGACGTGTATAAAGAATGGTGTTGCACTCCCAGAAGGAGCTGCATCTAGCATCAGTAATTGTTGTGAAGTTGCCTGTCCCATCTTGTGCAACTGTAAAATGGAAACTCACACAGCTCTCTGCACTCCAACACCACATCAGCATAATTATGAAAATTCCCAGTTCTTTGCCTTCCAGTTTAGATTTTCTTGGTTTTCCCTTTTCTTTTCTTGTGTTGTGAGGCTTCGCTGTAAATTATAATCTTTCAATAAAAACCACAAAGTAACATTAGATCTTGAAAAATGATTATTGAAATTTAGATGTAACGGTATAAAAGCATATTAGGTTCTACATTAAATTAGCTACTTAGATGTCAAAATTACGTCAGATTTTGTTACCGTTTTCTATTTCTTTATTTACTTAAATTGATTCTATTTAATGTTATTGTTTAGTGGCTATTAATTTCCTATAGTAACCATATACATAATTACTTTCTGTAGCTACTATTCATTTGTTTCGGTAGTGTATCCGCATTGTTGTATTCATGAATACAGCAGCAAAAAGAGCCTAAAATCAAGGCAGTCCAGCTGTACGTGCATGTATTCACATGTATTCGCGTCATGTATTCATGAATACAATAACGGCAATCACCTTAAAAATAGGTATGTCCAGCTGTCTAATAATGGAAATAATATCAATTAGTGTGATACACTCCTAATATAACTCAACAAAATCAATTCTAACATGCCTCATTATCAACCTAATTAATTAGAATGATTTTTCAATTGTATATAACTATTGTATTTAACTTTGTATTTAGTGTGTTTCAATTTTATTTTTTTTACTGATGCATTCATTAGATTCAATATTTGTATTTACTGTATTCGCTATTTTATAGTCTATTCAAATGTATTTGTATTAACAGTATTTTAGTTATTCATAATACATGTTATTACTATTGTATTCAGTATATTTCATTGATTGTATTCACTGTAGTTCTATTTGTATTCAGTGTATTTTACTATATTATAAAAATAAGTGTATTCACTGTTTATATTCTGTTCTATTTTAATATTTATATTCAGTGTATTTCAATATTTATATCATGTATTCATGCATATTGTATGTACAGTATATATGAAAACGAATGTATTCGCCTGTATTAAAAAATATAGATCTTCAAAACACATAAATACATGCAAAAAAAATTATTTATGTAAAAATACAATGTATTTTAGAGAATTTGTACGGAATACAATGTATTTGTATCATTGTATGTGACTAAATAGTAAAGAAGAGAAGAAAGTTCGTCGGAGATGGCGTATTTCGACCAAGAAGAGAAGAAAGTTCGTCGGATCCGTACAACAAATTTATGATAAGAGTTCATCACATTGCTCCTTTACGTTCGAAAAATTTACTCTTTTCTGTTTCCTGGCTGCCTTCTACTCTATTCTAATGTCTCGTCGGCCATCAATACTAAGGCGTGTATCTTGAGATACTCGAAGAGAGAGAGATTCTTCTTTCTCGTCCGCCATCAATACTAGGGCTTGAGCTGCTCGAAGAGAAAGAGAGAAAGAAGAAAAAATCTTAGAGAAAATCTTGTGTTAATTGAAAGAAAGGGAGAGGAAATACATAAATAGCGCATTTCATGCCTCAATGATAGTATATACCATAAATACCTATTTTGTTATAAAATATAAAATATAGCTATAGAAAATAATATTTTTAAATATTTTTAATTTATAATAAATAGGTTGTATACCTTTGCAGGATGTATAATTTCCTTCATTTAACTCAAAATCCTAGAAGGACCATGGGCTGGTGCCGTGATAGAAAAGGAGTTTTACACAGATAGGCTATTAAATTCTCTAAATTAATTCTTCCAGAAAAAACCATGAAAGAGCACTTTTCTCTTTGCGAAGACTTGGGCTTGGGCTGCTTGGGCTTGTAGATTGTTTGATGTTGGTATGCGTCATATGGTGGTTACCATAAAAGAAGAATAAATGGAAATGTGGATTGCCATGGTCCTTTGCGCTTACTGAAGAGGAAAATGCCCGGGCCAAATTTTGTTCTTTTTGACTTTTTGATTTTTTTACAGAAATATTTATTTAATTATTAGAAAAGAGGGAAATCTTGAAATAATAAATAAGTTAAAAATATACTGTGATATGACTAAACTAGACAAAAGAAAGATGATATATAATATTCACTTATCTATGCTAATTAGAAAAATAATGTTGTTTAGTTTTACTATAAATTTATAAAATCAGGATTATGGGTTACAACTTACATATTTAGCCAAAAGCATCTCAATTTTTAGATGGGTTGAATTCCAACGGATCAAAATGAGCTAAATTAACCTGCCCAAACTTAATAAAAATTATAAGAATTACGAACAAAAACATTATTTTTTTGAAAGTTTAAGTATTGATGTCACTGACGGGTATATAATTTTCGGTAGAAACCAAATCAACTCCCTGTTCCCTATTGTTAGTATTTTACGCCAAAGCAAATTTATTCATTATGATATGGTGATGACATTATACAATTAGATTAGGATTTGGTTTTAAACATATGTTTCCGTAGCTCATAAATAAGTCAATAATCCGACACTTTTGCTTTCTGTTAACGGTTCAATTTTAGAAAAGTTACTGTTAAAGTCCGAAAAGTGTACCAAATTCAATCGAAAAACAATGTAAATAAACACGCCTAAACTGCAGCCAGATTGAGTAATAACTAAATTGATTGATTTGCAATTTTTCACGACAAAGGGAGTGATTTTGCGATGTTTCACGACAAATTGAGGGACCTACGAAAATTCATAAGAGTTATATGAGGTGCAGTGCCTGTCAATAGCGTTTCATTTGGGTGGATTTTGCATAGATCTATGTTTATGACAGCCAAATTAAAATGTTTAGTAATTGATATTGCACTAGTTTAGTAAAGCACATGTTAATTAGTTGAGTTGTGTCATTTGAATGTTCACAAGGGGAACGATTTTGGAAATTGCTAGGCCAAAGGTCTATAGTGGTTCATTTAAAAGCTATTTTTATTATATTTAATTATTATATTAATATCATAGCTAATTAAAATAAAACCCGCTTGTCAAAAGTTAGATTCTCTATATAATGTATCTTTAACCAAAAAAGAAAAAGGAAACCATAAAAAATAAGATGATTTTATCCAAGTAAATTCAATAAACTGAATGTCAGTCATAGAAAATTAAAGAAAAGAATATGTGCATATCTATAAGACTAGACAAATTCTAGTATTTAAATTCGAAAGTAGAACCTCAAACTGCCACATATGTACACCATATCTGAAATTTTATTCAAGTGTGCAGAGTTAGATTCTGTATTAAGTCTACTATGTCCCTCACAATTCCAACTTAAAGAGACAGCCCATGTTACCATGTTCAGCGGTTGATGTCCTCTAATTCTTTTCAAATTTCATGGACCAAGATGGATAATGTAATTAACTAGTAAACAGGTTTAGTAATTATTACTAGCAACTTAATTTATGTCAAATATAAACAACAACAGCAGCTTTTAATCAGGAAACAAAATACAGAAATTACACTGCGTCAAAATGTTGTTTTGGAACCTCTAGTCTCTTTTAGAAACGTGTTTACCCGTAAAATGTAACAGTTGAATTTATACGTGATTTCTAGATAAATGAATTAATTTGATCCTAAAATAAATAAATAATCGAAGAATTACATAATACTTAGCCTTAGGATATAGACGAAACAGCAGAAGCAACAATTCCGGAAATAGAATTTCCGGACACAACAACAAAGAAAATCAAGAAATAAGAAGATAAGATTGGATTGAGCTTTGTATATAGTATAGCATAAGTTTGCTAGAAAATTCGTGTCATTTACAATGACAATTGAACTCACTATTTATAACTATGAAGAAGGTCCTAGGGTCGTGCCCTTCTTTAATGTCAATTATGAGGAGCATTGATGAAGATATAACGGTGAACATAAATGCCAAATTCCTTGTAACGGGTAACTGCTCTTAATGCCATAAAATTTTCTATTAAATGTTATCGGAAGAAGAGCATTTATCACATCTTTATGAGTGTTATTCTTTCCGATGACAAACGAAACAGTTGCCTTCGGTCTTCAGCCATTCCCCTCTCTTGGGTTCCACGTGTCCCTTTCTCGGACGGCCACGTGTCATAGCATATTTTATCCTATACAGATAATCCCCCTACTTTTCGCTCACATGATTATGTGTTACCGAGAAGTTGGTAAAATACTCTTTTGGTGAGAATTACTATAACTCCCTCTGGAAGCTTCTGACGGTTGATTAGATGCATATCTCTCCACATTTAATGCCTCGAACACACGTCGTCCCATGATTAAGCACAACTTTTTGCCGATTATCGAGGTAATCATGGCCATGAATTTAGCCGCTAAAACTTTTACTTATACGTATCAACTTCCTCCCTTATACTTCATAATTTTTCAAGCTTCCTTTGTCTAACTCGCATCTTGCTCTTTATCTTTTCTCTAATTCTCTTTAAAAAAAACCTTCTCCTTCTTTCATACAATGGCTTCTTCCTCAAAATGTACCGGTTTTTCAAAAAACAAGAACAAGGCCGAGGACTCTACTCCTCCAACAGTGGGCTCTATCATCCCTAGAAGTCTTATTACCACAAAAGGCTTCGAAGAGAAATTTTCTACTGCTAACTCTCGTATATGGGCCGTTTTGACATGTTTTTGTAAATAAAAACATCTTTTGCTCAAGTATTGTTTGAGTCTTCTTCTCGTTAGAATATTTATGCAAGTTTTTAATCTTTGCATTTTCTTTAAGAATTTTGGGCAAACTTTTTTGCGTCTTATTATGTGAAACTTTTGGGTGTATTCTCCCCAAAAGTATTTTTGACTCTGGGCATCAACTCTTTTTCGTGAGGGCTTTGATAAGTATTTGCGCAAGTATATTTTTTGCGTCTTTTCTTATACGGCTTCGGGTGTATATTTTCCCGAAGGTATTTTTGATTCTCGACATAAATTCTTCCAGAATCAACCCTTTAACGTGAGGGTTTTTATAAGAGAGGGTCCTCTTATGTTTACGGTGTTCTTGAAGAGGACGTCTCATGTTCATTACGGCACTAGCATTTGAAGTACTTGTTTAACTTTCAAATGACAAGGTTAATTCATTGTTCAGACAAGAAACAAGATAAAAATAAAAGGATTTCATTTTATTCCTTCTATTTTCAAAAAATACATAAGCATTTGCTATTCTAAAAAGAAATTGTCATTACTTGTGGCTAACTTGTACAACTTATTTCTACGGGGCTAACCACATAATTCTCCGTCCCGATGATGTAATTATATTTTTTTCGATCGATGTGGTAATCATTGTTGTCATATCCTCATATCATTCCCCCCTCCCCCCCTCCCCCCT